CCCTCCCACCCCGTCTCCCCTCCTGGCCCAGACACCACCACCCCTGCTCTGCCTGCTCGCACCCCCCGTAGTCAGAGAGACCCTGACCCCATTTATCCCAGGGCCCCGCCCACACACTGCCCCCTCCAGGACACCACCCTGGGTCAGGACCTCCCCAGCATGCCCCTCCCCTATCTCAGATTCTACTGCCTAGACGTGGGATGGACTCGACTGGCTGGTCTGCCCCAGGGCTGCATGACCTGGGGCCTGACACTGAGATGCCCCCCACCCACCCAGCTCTCTGCTGACCTGGGCTGCTTTGGAGGCGAGAAGGCTCAGAGGGGCCCTGAGCCGCTGATCCCAAGCCTTGCTGGAGGGTATCAGGCAGGTGGTTGCTGTAGATGAAGATGCCTCAGCCCACCGGAGAGGACCGTGGTTGTGTTGGGGACAGGGAAGGTGGGTGGTGGGCAAGTGGAGGTTGAGTGACCGCTGGCAGGTACAGGAGCCATCCGTACTGGCAGCCTGGGCCTCTTGCCCAGCTCTGCCCTGTGACCCAGCCAGGAGAGGACATAGGGCCAGGCCAAATACTCAGACTCATGGCTTGGCCAGCCACTGGCCAGAAGTCAGGGCGTGTAACCGCTCAAGTCAGAAATGTCCCAGACGACGTCAGGGTGCCAGGAAGTGACCTCAGTAAGTGACTTCAGCCCTGCTGCTTCCATCCCCATCCTGGCTTCCTAGTGGTCTGGGTGGTCCCTCTGTGGGACCCCAGGGCTCCAAGGAACCCTGTATGAGAACCCATGAGTGGACACTTTTAGGCTGTCTTCTGGCCCCAGGAGTCTGTTGAAGGGTCACTCCAGAGCCTTGGTTCCCGGAGGTGTGTCCGGTTCAGCAGGATCTAGTTGTGATCAGTCTCCACTGGGCTGGGCTGATATCCACCTGGGACTGGGTGGAGTCTGTGGACCCCTCTGGGGCATTGGGGAGAGCCTACCCTGGAGCTGGGGCTCCGGGGGGGGTCTCATGGCATGCTGGATCCCAGCCTGGACTAAGGGAGGGCACTGCAGCCATACTGGCTCAGGTGAGGTTCGGAACGCATTACTACCTCTGTGGAGAGGCTGGGCGGCAGCCTCTCGGGTCTGGGATGGGCTGTGGGACTCTGGCCAAGGCCTCGTGATCCCCATACCATGGGAGTGGGCACCCAGGGTAGGCCTCTTTGCTACAACAATGTCCAAGGTTGCCCCTTGAGTGGTCTAGAGACAGAAGGGACAAGGTGCTTCCCAGAGGTAGGAGCCAAGTGCAGAGTCTTCCCAGCTCTGCCCAGACACTCCAGGATGAGATGTTTGCAAGTTCCCTTATCAAGGGACCCGAAACTTTGCCACTAAAGAGCCACCAGAGGGCCAGGTCGGGCCACACTGCCTACGGTGACCCAGAACCCTGCCCCGCCTCCTTCCTGCTGGAGTCCTGACGCATCTCTGGGTAAACCCCAGGTCCAGTGCTTACCCCCCCGCCGAGAGTGAGGCTTCACCCCCATTTTACAGATGGGGAAACTGAGGCTGGGAGGCACGGGACTTGCCCGAGACCATGCAGGCATGAGGGGGCAGCCAGACTCCAGGCCTGTGCCCGCTGCCTGCTCTGTCTCCAAGGCCCATGCAGGAAGGACACCAGGAGGGGACTGCTGAGCAGTGACTGACCTTGTGTCGCCGGCCAACTGGGCCCAGGCAGAAGGAAGTGGCAAGTCCCTGTGGGCAGGCTGCCGGCCTGTGCACGCTCAGCAGAGTGGAGGCACCGGCACCAGGCCAGGCAGACTCTGGGAGGCTGGCCGACACTCTCTCAGCTGCTGTGTGGGACCAATAGCCCAGCCAGGGGCTTTGGGGACTGTGAGGAAACTGATGTTTGGAGACAGAAGGAATTTGCCAGGGTCTCCGTGGAGGCCCAGGTGGATGGATGGCCACTGTGGCCGTGACGGGATGAGTGGGCAGGCAGCAGGCCCAGAGCCCTTGGGAGCCGCACCAGGCTGCTGGCCAGATGGACACAGCCAGGGCCCCTGTGGCACTCAGCCCTGGCCTGGCACTGCCCACCATGTTCTGCTTAGACCTGGGTGAACGAGGTCTCCTGTGCCCCTGGCTAGGCCCCTCCCCCTGCAGGTGGACACACTGGTGAGTGGCAGATAGATAGGTGGACCGATCAGGTGCCTGGCAGCAGCACCAGACCTGTGTCAGCTGCCTAAAGCTCAGGTGGGCACTGACCCCACCATGCCCTCAGCCTCAGTCTCCCCAGGGGGCTCACAGCAACCCCCATTCTGCTCCTTCTCTTCCAGGTGCTGCCTACAGCCACAGGCAGGCAGCAGGACCCTGTGTGTTAGGAGCCACTACAGCCCTCTCCATCACCTGAAGGCCTCTCCTCCTGCCCTCACTTGGAGCCCCTGGCCCCAGCCCTGGCCCTGGCCCCTGGCCTGGTCTGCTTGCTGCTGGACCCTGGCATGTTCAGGCCTGGCCCGCGCCTGCCTGCCCAGCCCGAGGAACCCCAGTGGCCCCGTGAGCTAGGATGAGGGGCCAGGCCACCGCCCCAGGCCCCTGCTGGATCCTTGGCCCCCGGCTGCTGCTGCTTCTGCTGTTCCTGGGGCGCCAGGCTAGGGCAGCCATGGGGGCCAATGTGGGGCCAGGGCCTGAGCCATGCACCACTCTAGTGCAGGGCAAGTTCTTCGGGTACTTCTCAGGGGCTGCAGTGTTCCCAGCCAATGCCTCACGCTGCTCTTGGACCCTGCGCAACCCGGACCCGCGGCGCTACACACTCTACATGAAGGTGGCCAAGGCTCCCGCATCCTGCAGCGGCCCTGGCCGCATCCGCACCTACCAGTTCGACTCCTTCCTGGAGTCCACGCGCACCTACCTGGGAATGGAGAGCTTCGACGAGGTGCTGCGGCTCTGTGACCCCTCGGCACCCCTGGCCTTCCTGCAGGCTGGCAAGCAGTTCCTGCAGATGCAGCGCCAGCAGCCACCTCCTAATGATGACCCCGGGCCCCCAGGCAATGACTTCTCAGTGGAGTACCTGGTCGTGGGCAACCGAAACCCCAGCCGGGCTGCCTGCCAGATGCTGTGCCGCTGGCTAGACGCCTGTCTGGCTGGCAGCCGCAGCTCACACCCCTGCGGCATCATGCAGACCCCTTGTGCCTGCCTGGGTGGGGACACCGGTGACCCTGCCTCTGGCCCCTTGGTTCCCCGCGGTGACGTCTGCCTGAGGGATGGAGTGGCTGGTGGCCCTGAGAACTGCCTCACCAGCCTGACCCAGGACCGGGGCAGGGATGGTGCTCCAGGTGAGTGACCAGACAGGAGAGGACCCGGGGTGGATCCCTGGGCAGAGGGCATCAGGTCTTTTCTGCAGAGTTGTCCTGCCTGCCCACCCTCTTAGCAGAGGCTCAGGGAAGCCAGCACACAATGCCTGGTGCAAGGGAGATGCTCGCTGAGTTCAGTGAATGAGTGAAGGAAGGAACAGCGGGTCTGATTTCTCCAGCTGAGAGAGTTTTAAATTTCTGACTGGGAATATCCTTCCTTTTTTGAGAGCAAGATGGTCTAATGGGCCAGCAGGCTGCTGTGGCTGGTGGCCGGGGTCTGCAGGGGCCTCTTGGGATGTGGGCTGCGTGGAGAAAATGACCAGAGCAGACTGTTTGGAGATGTGGTCAGGAGGTGAGATCTGGGGGCAGTGTGGTGTGGCTGAACAAATCACTTACACTGGAGTCAGTTACTGAGTGCCTTCGAGGTGTTCCAGGCATCAGGGACACACAGAGACAACCCACAGCCCAGCCCCACCCTCATGAGGGTGGCGGGAAGGAAGGCCAGACGAGCACAGCCAGGGCCCCTACCACAGCATCTTAAGTACAACATGGGGAAAGGTTGCTGGTGCGAGGTCAGGGGTCTCCTGGTCCAGGGGCCAAGTTCAGGGTTTTTAGAGACATGCGGGTGAGCCCTGGGGGGTGTTAGGAATAGCACTGCAGGCCAAGAGCTGGGCGAAGGCCGGGCACATGCTCGTCTGCCCAGCAGAGAGAGGCTGGGCTGGTCCTGCTTGGTGACGAGAGCCAGTGAAAGAGGTATGGTTAGTGGATGGGACAGGACGCAGGGCAGGAGTCAGAGTCTTCCTTACAGGATGCCCAGGATTTCCTGAGAGCATCTGGGAGGCTGGGGTGGTGGCTGGGATGGGGAGGGGGGCAGGGGACAGCTTATCTCATACTCTTGAGTTTGAGATGCCAGGCAGGCAGCTGAACACGGGTGCTGGGCATCCAGGGGCCAGGCCAGGCTAGGTGTTTCATGCTAGGTGGGTGACACTGTCCAGGGCTCTTAGCTCCCCCTGAGCCAGTGAGGCCAATGGACTGCTTCTCAGAATAGTTTTTAAAGGCATAAAATAAGCATGTGGGGCACAAAAGACCCCAGTTGTTCTGGCACCCGACTCTGTTCATGGCCCCCTGGGCCCTGGATCCTAGATTAGACACCTCCATGAGCTGTGAAGGTAGCTGGAGAGGAGCAGGTGAGAAAGGGAGAGGTGGGCAGAGCCCCAAGGAAGGGGGGGTATCCAGGAAACCAGCAGAAAATGCTCCATCAAGATGGGGGTATACATCAGCTGCTTCATGCAGCTCCCCAGCAGTGGGGTAGGAGGCTGGGAGGACTGACCTTGAGGCTGGGCAAGATGGAAGACACTGTGACCTTGGCTTGGGCAGCTGCTAAGGAGCAGAGACGTGGAGGGCGCCGGTTGGGGGGAGGAGAGCACGGAGCAGTCGTCGCTCGGCCACTCCCCTGCAGCCACCTGCCTTCTGAGCCTTAGTTTCTTCATCTGCAAAGTGGTGACTGCTATGCAGGACTGCGGGGTCATGCAAGAGATGATGGCCCAGGGCCTGGCCCACAGGCGCAGATACACAGGAGCTGGAGACTCTGACTGCTGGGAACTGTCCAGTGCTGCTCAGAGCTGCATGGAGGTGTCCTGAGGAGGAGGTCAAGAGGCTGGGCTGGTGTGGTCCAAGCATGAGGACCAGTGGCAGGAGTTTGTGTGCTGGAGGCAGCCAGAGCTCTACTTCTCACTGAGCACCTACTTTGTGTTCTGAGGCAGGAGTAGGGGTGCAGTGGGTTGACTTGTTATCGTGAAAACAGAAGGGTTACAGGAGGGCTTTCAGCAGAAGAGCGACAGGGGCTGACACTCTCGATGCTCAAGCTGTGAGTGTCCCAGCCCAGAGTGGGGTCCCCGACAGGGAAGGGCCACTGCAGGCGTTCAAGAGTGACCCGATGTTGGCCTGCTCGGGACTCAGCAGCATCTGGACTGGGGAAGAGGGTCTGGCGGTGGAAGGGGGTGGAGCTGATGGACTTGCTGATGCAAAGGATGTGGGTGCAGAGGGAGGAGGTGGCCAGACCACTCCCAGGGTGGGGAGGAAGGTCTGGAGGTCAGAGTGGGACTCGAGTGTGAGATGCTCATGGTTCATGCAAGCAGGGTGTCCTGTGAGCAGGGTGCTCTGGGGCGTGGAGTGCCAGGGCAGGACTGCACTCGTGCCCCCC